AATAAAGCCAAAAAGGCACTAACAAGCAACAATTTAATAAGTAATAAAACTTCACTACACTTCAGAAATACAATGATCAATTGATCATGACATTACACAACAATATAATAACAATCTAACCAGAAAATTACAAATTCAAAACACAATTACAGGAAAAATGCTCCTACTTCTCTCTAAAATCTCTCTCTACCTTTAACCCAAGGATGATTGACACTAACTGTTCTATAGGCAACTCCCTCATTCCTCCTAAACCCCTGGATCTGTCCGCTGAAAAATTCTTTCTAGCCTGCTCCTCGGAAATTAACTTTAAAGACAAAGTACTAGTTGAGGAGCCAATGATTGACATTAACATGAAAGCTTCTGAGGCAGACCATCTGCACAACACTCAATCCAGCTCGGGAGTAGAGACTGACAAACTAATTAATGGTATTAGAACCATTAAATTGTCTAAGGAAGATAAGGAACGACTTCATGCCCCATGGAGATGCTCGCTTATAATAAAATTGATGGGGAGAAGAATAGTTCACCATTATCTAAAGTCCAAAATTCAAGATCTCTCGAAACCCACGGAAAATTTCCCTCTTATCGATCTGGGATCTGCCTACTATATTGTTAAATTCTCAAAAGAAGAGAATATGATGACTGCACTACAGAAGGGGCCATGGTTTATTAACGACCATTATCTCTCTGTGAGATGGTGGGAACCAAGCTTTGTGCCTGATGAGGCAAGTTTGACACACTTAGCCATCTGGATCATGCTCCCATACCTTCCAACAGAATTCTATGATGGTCTGTTGTTAACAAAAATAGGTGGCACAATAGGTAAGCTGCTAAAAATTTATGCATGCACGAGTGCCACTCTCATAGGAAGATATGCGTGTTTATGTGTCGAGGTCCCATAGACGTGCCAGTCATTAATCAGATACAAATAGAGTCGCACACACAAACTATAGTATACGAAGGAGAAGGTTTCCTCTGTAAAAATTGTGGCTGACTTGGACATATTCAAACAAAGTGTCAGTATATACGAATTTCTATGAAGGATAAACCTCAAAATGATCATGCTACCATTCTCGCAAAACAAATGGCGGCCACTGACGGGCAAATAGTGTCCTTCTCAAAGAGGGGGCAACCGCCAAAATTCAAAAAGGATCAAAGTGTAAGGGGTGAACACATAGAGCAACATCAATCACTAGATAACCCAGGTATCAATGTCAAAATTTTCTCAGCGGCATCAGGTAAGTTCCTTTCAACTCAAAAATTAGCTTTTAAATCCATTAATTCAGACTCCTCTAAAATTTCTAATTTACCAAAGCAATCCAATGGGGTACAATTTCAAGAGACTATGAATCGCAGGATTGTCCCTACAAGGAAAAGGAATAATGTCCTGAACACACGCAAACCCTCTATTAACATCTCCAATAATTTTGCTTCGCTACCCATTAATGCGGATGATTGTTCATCTTCCGATCCTAGCAATCCAAGAGAAGACGGCTCATTAGGACACCCATTTGTATGCCTCATCTCAATCGATACAACCGAAGTATCTCCCCAATAAAAAATGAACACGTGTCTCCAACATGCCCCATAAGTTTTCTCAGGCCCACTGTTTGCCAGCAAATCACAATTCCCATTTTAACCATGGGTAATTTCTTGGCCACCACTCAGGCGTCCTCTTTACGAAATAATATCCAGGTGGCGGATGAAGTTGGCCAAGTGGCTAACATCGATGGACATGTGGACATGCAAATGGAGGAAACTAATCTTTCTCCAAATCTTTCTCCTAGCAACCATGCTACTCTACTGACCAATGCCATACATTATAAATCTCACTCAAAAGATTTTCAATTATCTCATGCCAACCTACACTCTACTTCTTCTATTATATCTTCCATAATTGGGAACCATGTTGAGACCACTAATTTCCATGAACAAGAGAAAATACCCACAACTCCGCTCCCAGTCACTCAATTCTCCTCGTCCAAATATGAACAACCATTCCCATATACCCCAACAGGTTGCTTAGCATCCTTTGGTGGTGGCAACCCAACCAGTTCATCCGCTGCACCAGAACCAATCTTGGATAGAATACGGTTTAAGAGACCGAGCAGTCTTCTTCACGATGGACATAAATGGGGTGAACACAATGATAATCATCCAAAATCCCAACTTCTTGGCTTAGCTTATCACAGAGGGTATGAAGTTGGCAATGGACAACTATGTGAACCACCACTGGATGGAAAATGTGTTGTCCCCCCTAGCTCCAGCTGTGGCACCAAGTCTCTTCCACAACATGAAAACACAGTGGGGCCTCCCACCACACTTCAACCCACCAATGAACTCGAACTCACATCCCCAGCTTCCTTTCTTTACTCCTCAGCCATAGACAACAACCCATTATTCTTTCCATGTGTTCCAGTCCCACAACATGCAGCTCAAGTGCTCTCTTAAGCTCCAATAAAAAGTCATCAGCCTCCTATATGGCAAGCTGGGAGCAGCCAGCAGCCACCATTATGGCAAGATGGGAGCGAGAGGGAGGAGGAAGTGCTGAGAAACTGCTTCACTGAAATCTCAACCCTCAGGCATGTTGCCCTAATGCTATTCCCGGAGAAGGAGGACAAGAAATATATCCACATATGCCCAGTAGCTCTTGCGAAGTTCTCATTCGACCTTCGTTCGGCGGTGAACACTACACTAATATGCAGTCCCCAACACTACTACCCTATCGGGTTCCCCCAAGGACGATTCTATGATCGTGAATCCCTCATCCAGCTACTCTCCAATGATTAATCCCACTAGTTTTATAGTTTGGAACATTAGGGGGGGGGGGAATAACCCTACGTTCAAAAGGAACCTTAGAGAGCTTATTCATAACCACAAACCTTGCATGATAGCCTTGCTAGAAACTAGGATGACCAGTCATGATGGTTTGAAAGACAAGTTCGGGTTTGATGACTTTCTGGAGGTCACAGCAATAGGTAGGTTTGGAAGTTTAGTGTTACTATGGAATATTTCTTTGGTCACTGTCTCAGGGCCCATGAAATTTGATCAAGAGATGCACGCTATGATCCAAGTGTACCCTGACCACAAGACTTGGTGTTTGAGTATTATTTATGCCAGTACTAAGAGTATCAAAAGGCAAATATTGTGGGATAATCTAGAAAATGTTTCTCACTCTCTCATATCTCAAGGTCTAGCTGATCGTTAGTGTGTAGTAGGTGATTTTAATGAAACCCTTAGGCAACAAGATAAATGGGGAGGAAACATTATTAACCGCTCGAGAAGCTCGCGCTTTTGTTCCTGTGTTAATAACTGTAATTTAATAGACTTAGGGTTTAAAGGAAGTCGATTTACATGGTCCAACCATCGAAAGCGTTATAAGGGTCTTATTCTAGAAAGAATCGATGGATGCTTTGTGAGTAATGAATGGCTAGGACACTACCCTAATGAGTATGTTACTCATCTCCCTAAACCCCATTCCGACCATAATCCCCTTCTTATTAATTTGTGTTTGAAACCCTGCTCCTTTAATAACAAACCCTTTAGGCTTGAAAGCTACTGGTTGGAGCACCCTGAGTTTAAGGACATTGTTATTAATAGTTGGCTTAATAGAGACCTCCCTAGTGCTTCAAATCATTTTAAAGATAATGTTACCAGCAGGAGTAGTTTTACCTTTGGGGACATTTTTCGAAAAAAAGAGAGGCTTCTAGCTAGAATAAATGGTATTCAAAATTCTAGTTCCTACCTGTATAGCCTTTTTCTTCAGAAATTAGAATATGACCTCATCAAAGACTACAATAATATCTTGCGAATTGAAGAAGATCACTGGAAAATCCGCTCTAGAATTAAATGGCTTAATGAAGGCGATGCTAACACGAAGTTTTTCCACTTATCTGTTATTAACCGGAGAAGGAGGAATAAAACCTCTTTTTTTAAAGGATGAGCTATAAAATTGGATTAATGACCAAAAGCAAATCACTCAGCATGCTTTTAGCTACTTCTAGCAAATATATTCTTCAGATCATCTCTACTCTCATTTGCAAGGGACTTATGGTTCCAACCGGAGTTTCCATAAATTTGATCTCTCTTCCCTAGACAGTCCCCTTCATAATCAAGAGGTCATTCGAGCCATTTTTTCCTTCAAACCTTACAAAGCGCCAGGTCCTGATGGTTTCACCCGATCTTCTATCAACGACATTGGGACCTAGTTGGGAACTCAGTGCTAAAATACTGCCATGATATCTTTGAGTCCCAAACCATCCCCCACCCTTTAACGATACTCTGTTATGTCTTATTCCTAAATTCAAAAATACTAATCAATTTAAAAGCTTTCGACGTATAGGGTTATGTAATACCATCTATAAAGTCATCACAAAAATTATCGCTAACCGAATTAAGCACTTCTTAGATAAGCTAATTGGCCCCCAACAAACAAGCTTTCTTAAAGTGAGACGGGCTATGTCATGACCCGAGAGGACCCCCCTAGTCGTAACACGGCATACTCGACCCTGAAGGGGTCTTATACAAGCCTCATAGCTCATTCATTGCATAAGATACTTGAAAGTAGAGAAGAATTAAAAAGTTTCCTTTACAATCGAAGACATTTTATTAAAAAGCAAGCGGAAGACTATTCTAGACTTTATACAATATGTCTCAAACCATCTAATACTTTGAATACAAAATTGGGACTTAGCCCATACAAAAGCTTAAACAATACTAAAAGACATAAAGGAACATAATAGGTTTTGTCCTCGAAACTATGAGGACTCACCAAGTTTTCATCTTCAAGCACCTTAGAAACCTAACCTTCAAGCATAGAACACCAACATCTCCAAAGCCTATGCTTTGGTAAAAAAGGGAAAAGAATGGGGTTAGCACATTAGATGTACTGAGTATGATGACCATGCAAAAACATGCTTAAAAAGGGACATTTGATTGAAAGCCATGCTTTTATGCCATTTTTGTAAAACTTCATGAACATTGATACAAGAGGCATAATATAAGTCACAACTAACATACAAAGTCACATAATTCACATCAAGACAAGATCACATATAACCCTTTACCTTTACCTTGAGCCTTCACCTCAAGTAACCCTCAAGCTATGCCTTATGCAATGTATGGATAGCGTCCCATACCACCACCTTAAGGTTACCAAAAGTGAACTTACCATTCATCTTTTCCACCTTTACACAATAAAGCATTTAAGAGACATAAACATCACATGAATCACATCATCACATTAAGACCAACATCTAAGACAACTCTAAGCCATACTTGTGCAATGTGCAAGTAGCATCCCATACTACTATTCACACTAAGTACTCCTTTGAAGTCACCCTAGACATGGCACATTCATATACAATAGACATGACAAGGAAGTAACTCATAATACAATCCAAGTATAGCATGCATCTTTACATTTAAACATTTAAGAGTCAACATTACTCAATAACATCATTTAGAAGACTTTCAAACAAAAGTCATTAAGACTTAGAGAACTCACTATAGCCCTCTTGAAGCCTACTTGTGCCATGTATGGATAGCATCCCATACTACTACCCACACTTCATAGAGCTCCTCAATAAACTATGATGCACATCTCACATGATGGGAATAAGTGTTTAACCGACATAGACCATGAGGGCTAGATCATGGAATCCGATGTACTGTCCCACATCGTAAGGGTTGGTCTACTTGCCTAAGGTAAACCGGTATATAGCTTAAGTGGATCCACTAGATAGACCTATGTGGGCACATAGTTAAGGGACAATGAGATTGCTACTAGATACCCCGCCTCAACTCACCTGAGGGCATCCATCTCAAGAGATTGCTACTAGAAACCCCGCCTCAACTCACATGAGGGCATCCATCTCAAGAGATTGCTACTAGAAACCCCGCCTCAACTCACATGAGGGCATCCATCTCAAGAGATTGCTACTAGATACCCCGCCTCAACTCACCTGAGGGCATCCATCTCAACTCAACATTCATTCATTAGATAGCTCATAGATTCAAAGATGAGAATAGCCTTTCCTCTAAGGAATCTCATTATCGTTCATTAGTGCAAAATCGAGAATATCCTTTCAATCAACACACATTAGCATTCAATAGAGTACAATTGAGAATAGTCTTTCAATAGACTCAACATTCATTAACATTATCATTAAACTCATTCATTCATTCATGAAAAGGCTACCAACATTAGATCTATCAATTCAAGACATTAAGTCAAGATATACTCATCATATAAGAAAATGATACTTAAGCCTACCAATTCAAGAGATCTCATTCAACATTACATTATAGAACCCTTCACGTTCCATCATCAACATTTATGAGTGTTAAGTATCATATAACATTCAATCCTAACACAATTAGCTTCTAGACAACATCATAATTCATTCATTGAGATCCCACACATGCTTCACATCACATTCATATATA